AAACAGACGCCGGCGGCCGCTTTGTTTACGTTGAGCGGTAGCCTTGCGTGCCCTCGAGCCGCCGAAACTCGAGCCGCCGAAACTCGAGCCGCCGCGGCCGCCGCCGGCGCGTGTCGTCACGTTCACCTTCGTCACTCGAGACGCGACCGTGCGAGTAGACGCCGCGCAACAAGTCCCGCGAGCTTCCAACCGCCAACGCGATCACTTTCCGCGGGCGAGTCTCAACTCGGGTCCTCGGTACATCCTTCTCGTCGCTTCTTAGCGGTGTCTAGGTTTCCCATCTCGGTCCCGCCCGCGATGTTCTCGGGGAACGGCATCCGCGCGGTGAAGCAGAAGTCAAATCAGATCGGACTGTCTAGTCGGAGAAAACGAAACGGAGAAGCGACGTGTCAGTGAATCAGCGACGTATTACATCTCGTGGTATTTAGATAAATGCGAGAAGTGTCGCGTCGGGCGATAGCGCACTTTCGGTGGATCCACTTTACTTTCAATCGCTCGTTCGACTCGCGTCGTGTTGGCGCATCGGAGTGAAGTTGCCGGTAACCTGCCGTTCGTTGGCGAAGCGACCGCGGCGATGGACGCAGCGAGGATCTACGTCGAGCCCGGCGGTTTGGCGGCGCGTCTAATTATCAGGTGCGATCGTAATTACACTCGCGCGCTGATGCTCGTTGATCGCGCCGGCGACTCGAGTTTGCATGTCGACGAGGTGCACACGCCATTGCCAGCAGAACGCGGCCTTTAATCCAACGGCTCCGCGTTCTCGGGACGTACTTTCGCGTCGTAAATGTCCGTCCTCGACGCCGCACATTCGTTCGCCCTTAGATTCCCGCCTCGCGCGACAGGAGATAATATCTCGCCCTAGAAAACGGTGTCCCGGGACTAAACGCGCGGCGGCAACGGCTACGGCGAGGACTCCAGTTGGGACTTCGGTTCCCTCGAAAAACAGTGTTCACCGCGTCAACTCGCGAATCGTGCTCTTCCGTGCCGGTCGCGGTAAACCCTGGTGGCGCGACATATTGGCGCAACATCGGGAAATAACGTGAATCCAGTATTCCCAACATCGGCTCAATATTGCAAGATGAACGCCTGCTCTTCCCAGTGAGAAATGATTCGAATCGACGACGTCGAATCGACATCGACACCGTCGAATCGACGTCGATCGACGAATCATTTCTCACTGGGTTGGCCGATGTCCATTTAGCAACATTCTCATTACATTGTTAAATATTGGCCGATGCACGTCCAACATAAATTCAATGTTATATAATTATTATATATTTACATTAATTCCACGGCTCTGCGTTGGACAATGTCGGCCAATGCATTTCTAAAACGACCAACATTGGACCGATATTTAGCCAATATTTAGCCAATGTTTAGCCAATGCGCTGTGCTACTAAGCGCGTATATCGGGAGTGTCGAAATGATTTTCGCGCGAGTGCGCGAGTGAGTGAGTGCCAGGGAATCTGAGAGGAGGAGCAGGCCTGGAAGGCGTCGGGCAACGGCGGAGCAACTGTCAGGTGAGTCATTCAATATCATTAGCAAATTAAATATTATAAAGGAGTACACGAAACAACTTGAGCGATTGATCAGATTCTTAATCTCTAATGTGAAAATTGACAAGTACTAAGATACAGGAGTGAGAGCCAGGACAGGATGTTACTGTCTAAATAATTTTCATTTTAAGTCTGTTGCGAAAATAGACTTAAAAGCGGCAAGACTCAAGACTTTTCAAAGTTGCTTAAGTTTCAGAATAGCTGCTTACGTTCCAGACTATCATTGGTCACTTTTCCTTAAGTCTCAAGTGCTGCTTAAATTTTTTTTCGTGTGTTTAAGCCCTTAGGCTGCGGTCCACTTGTTGCAAATTCATTCTTTGTCTTCCTTTTAATAAAGAAAGAAGACAAACGCTTTGAGCATTTGCAGCGTCAAGCGGACCGCAGTCTTAATCGTCTATTCCCAAATAGAAAACGACGATCGTTTGCGAACTCGAGAAGAATTCTTTAAATTCTCAATGAATCCGCTCGCGAATAAAAGTTCCCTTCCGGTAGTGCAAAAAGGATTACTCTGCAAAGTGTAAAAAGAAATCCTTTTCTAAAAATTGGAAGCTCAAAATTGCTGACGTAAAAAGTTTCACAATTCGAAAGAATTCTTTTCGGATTCTCTGGATTTCCTTTTCAGTCGAATTGCTCGAGTAATACGCGACTAACGGTCGGAGGGAAAGATGTGTCTCTTTGTGAAATTTTGCGAAAGTATATTCTTGGAAAATTATTCACTTGCCCAAATCTCGGAGCGAAAAGAACAGATAGATTTCTTTTCAAAAGCTATGCATACACTGACAAAAAAAGTTTAGAACCAAGTAAATAGCTTTACTTAAAATAATTTTTTACTCAAGTAAATATTTATTCTATTTAAATGAAAATGTCAAATTTCAAGTAAATCTGTGTATTATAGTATTAAGTAAATTAATTGAAATCATTACATTTTCTACAGTCAACTAAAGATTTCATAAGATAGAGAATACTATTTATTAAATGAAATCATTGTTTTTTGTCAAATAAGAAGTCCAATTTTCTTGGCTATAAAATTTATATCTTAGTAAACATTTTATAGAATTAAAGTAAAATTTTTTAATTTAAAATTATCTACTGTTTGATATTTAATAAATACTTAAATTAATGAAATGCATGTTTTAATTTGTTTATTATTTTTTAAATTTAATGAATAATTTTCTTGAGTAATATTTTTTGGATTAAGATATTTTTTTATCAGTGTACAATTACATTAATAAACGTGAGAAACAATGGAACAGTTTCGATGCGATCATAATTAATCTTTTTGTTTTTCTTTTTGAAATGTTTCAAATATTTTGGCCGTCATTATAATTTACACCTTTTATTTTTATATTGCAGATCAACGCAGTCTACAACTCCGCTGCTGCGCGTCGGTTGGTGAGTGCAAAATTATTTTTGTTTGAAATCGAAGCAACGGATCTATGAGAAACTGTTACGTATCCGTATACATTTTTGGCACGAGTGTATTTGTTGAGCATAAAAATATTGCAAACATGATATCTCATAGATCCGCTGCCTGAAATGGATGGACTGGAATAAATTGGAATGGATATTTAATCCTGGTTTGTGCGCAATTGTCGATTTGTCGAGCACACGAGGACGTATAAAATGTTATAGCTCGTAAAACTTAGCTCATTTATATCGACAAATTGGCATTTTCTAGTGTCTTGTTACACGGAACGTTAATTACGCGACGTCCCCAGAAATTTCGGCAATTTCGCGAGTATAAATAATAAAGGCGATAGCGAACTTTCCGAATAAAATGAGCTCGGTAAAAAAGATAAACGATGATAGTGCGAGCTTTGTAAGAGTCCGAGTTTAAGACATTGATATTCTTCACACTTTTCGCTGAGCACATGATACATTTCGAGGGAACGTAATTAAGAACATATGAGGATCCTAAATATTAATTATTTGAACGGTCTTATTAATATTATAACTAATTAAACTTTCAACTTCGTGGCTTGGATGAAAAATAAATGTAAAGAAAGCAAAGATAGAGAGATAGAAATTAAGCAATAGCAACTAGGAAACTGACATCTTTTTAAATGTCAAGTTTTCATTTAAGTTGCCTCATAATGTTTCTCGTGCAATCAAGATTAGAAAAAGATAGTTATATCTTTCATTCACTTGTGTGTGTGTACGTGTGCACGCGCCTGTGTGAATTAAACAAATAAATGAAATCTCTGAATGAATGACAGAGAAAAATTATTTAAGTATTCCTTTCTATTTTCTCTTCTTCCTATGTCTGTGATTCTACCAGGATTAAATATCATGTGAGTTGAAGCAAGAAAATCGTACTGAAATATTGCTTCTTCAATAGGTTTTCAATATTGTGCATTACGTTATAAACAGAGAGTAAAGAAACGATGAGAAATTGTGTAATGATATAGAATATTCCAATTAATTTATTCCATAAAAGCGTTTTAATTATTATTAGTTGTATTTAATCTTGTAACTTGTCAATTTTTTCTAATTTCTCATAGTCCATCCATTTAATGATAATTTAACTTATTCTGCCACTTGAACCAAATTAGAAGTGTGGTAGTTCTGATAAATGTGTGGCCGTAAAACGGACAATTTTATATGTCTCAATTATATTGGTTACATATTGGGGAACAAAGTATTACATTTGAAATAATTCCAAATGTATTAGCTTATTAGCGCATCTTGGAAGGAACATAAAAAATGAGTGAATTAAACGTGCATAGCTATTTTCATTATTATTCATCGGTCGACTCGTTCTTAAAATTAGATAATTGAGAGAGAATGATAAAATTAATCAGGCGTTTACACTGAATTTATTTTACATTTAATTGGAAAATTTTAAAAATCTGAAAACATGGGGGAAGAACATGAAGAAAATTGTTTCTTTATAATATTTACGTTAAAAAATATCCAACTACGATCATACAAAATTATAATTTTTTAAAGATTAATTAAAATCGACCCTAAAACATAAACATAAAAATATTATTTGAATTTTTTTTCACAATATTTTCTCAGTTATGACTAATCAAAGTTGCCCATTGGTATCGCGTAGAGTTGATGAACGAGTTTATTAAGTTTTTATTAAAGTCTCAGATATTTGTACGCATTAATCAGTATATTATTGATCTTCATAATTAAAATAACGTTGATTTCGGCCTTTTATTGTTTTTATTACTTATACGAGCCCTACGCGATACCGTTGATGGCCACCTTCGTTCGCTTACAACTCGAAAATATCGCAGTCTCGAATTTTTGCATCAAAATCTTTAATTTCGACTAGTCTTCAAGATACGTTGAAATATTGCGCGATAGCCGAATACTCTATAAATGACAGTATACAAAGAATAAAGTTAGATAGAGTTATTATAAAATAATGTCAAACAATGCAGTCAACATAAAGGGTACGTGGGTTATTTAATAAAATACGCTCACGCAATATTGGTTCTTTTCGTTTTATTGTACCAAAAAATTGCATCTTGTTCAATCATCGTTAATTCAATATAATATATATATATATTTATATTTATATTTGTTATATCTTATTTATAATAAATATTTGTAATAGCGTAATGTTCATTGTTTGTCATTGTTTTATTGTGTTCATGAACCATGAAAACGTGGATTCAGCAAGTTCGTAATCATCGTCATCACGTGCTAACTAGAAAGACGTTCTGTGTGATTGGTCAGATTCGGGAAATCTGTCTGTAAAAGACACGCCAGATCGTCGAATTATTTCTGTCTCGCAACCTCCGTTTTCGTTTTCTTTGTTTGCTTTTTTTCTTGTCTTTTGGAAAGAGGCCGGATTATTCGAGATTAATTCTTTTCTCTCGGCATATTTGTCGTTGACACATCTTTTTTTTTCTTCTTTTTGCTAACAGTACCAGCATCTTACATAGACGATTCATACATTGAAACAATAGGTACCTAAGGAAACTTTACATCTAGCTGTAGTGAGGCGCCCGTTCCCTTAAATTCGCCCTTTAGAATTATTTTTCTGAATCTGCGTGGCGCGTAAGTCCAAAAATTATATCACTTTTTCTATTCCTCGGTAAAGTTGGACCTACGCTACTAATTAGAGCTGTTACACACGATACAATCGCGTCGTAGTAGAAATCACACGAATCCCATCACCTGTTACTAATATCAAGACTTCCAAAAATAATGATTTCTTAATATGCCATTAATTGAAAAAGAAAACTTTTCTAATATCGAAAATGCTAAAGATAAAATTAATTCTTTAAGCGTCTTACTTAATCGCGTATCATATTTCGTCTAAATACTTTAGTTTACAATTAATCTGCTTTGTATGCATCTGAGTTTTGATAAAGAAATGCATTACGCACTTCCGCTTGAATTATTCCAACTCGTTACGAATGCTAATATGAATTTCACAAAGCGTTCGACAGTACGCCGAGACGACTGACAATGAGTGCTGCAGAATGAAATACGCCCCGGTAAAACGGTTTTATTATACATTATTTAACGACACGTTAATGCGACCATTTAAAACATCCCGCTCGCGTATTCTTCGTTTTATCGTTGACCAATTCAAGGATAACGGGTCCTCCACGAGCCGAAGCAGCGCAGCTAATTACCATATACCGTAAGAAAATATATGTACCTCTACAGACACCAATAATTCGATCTTCACGATTGTACATGGAACATAGAAACGGTTCCCGAACAAATCCTCCGAACGAGTGTTCCGAACTTTATCGTCATCATTATCATCATCACTACGTTAGTTTATAAAGCTTTACTTTGCCAATGTTAATTAACGGATATCTCGTCGATTCCCCGTAAACCCTGCAGTACAGCAGTCTTTGTGCCAATTTTTCTCGAGAGCTTTTAGCAGCTAATAACTCGAACACATTACGAGGTGTACTTAGTTTTCTTTTTCTTTTCAATGTATTGTTCGGCAAGAATTTCCTTTAGCAGCTCTCCGGTCACGCTCTTCACGATATCGTCGTCAATAAGTATGGCAGTGACTAGGAACCACTGGGGGAAAACGTAACGTTACTGCAGAGTTAATGACGATCGTCGTCCACGAGAGAGTTAGTACAACTCCTTAGCATTTTATACGTCGCTACATGTGTTACGTTCGAAAAGGGTCTACCAGCGATATCGAAATCTATTATCGAAAGAATCCGTTTCACTGCGTAAAAGCGGTTCGACTGAAGGATCGCGGGCGCGTTGCCCGAGCCCTTCAATCTTCTAATTTCTTCGCAGCACGCACCAAGCGACGTTTTGTTCCCTAATTAGCGGTTGTTTCTTCCAAGTTTGTTGTGTTAAATAAAAGCGATACTCGCGGTAATCGTGATAAAATGTCTGGCTGAGATATACATCGGATAGGTCGCTTCTAACAAATCAAATATAATTTCACTTTTGAGCGATAAATGTATAAATAAGTTCCAAGTTAGCCACTCAATTGTCGGGTTAATCGAGTCCTCCCGGATTTTTCTCGCATTTATAATATAATTTCCACGACAAGATTCTATCATCTTTTTTCCAATTTTCACTCGAGTAATTAAAAACCGTGCAAACGCACATCGCGGTGCGGGCCGCCAAGAAGGTGCCTCTCTTCCTTACAGCATTATGCTTCCCCCTTCAACTCTCTCAGCCTCTCTATCGCCATATAGTCGAAATATGAAATCCTTATCATTTCCAGATGCATAAGCGAGCGTAAACCTTTCGTTCGAGAGAACACGCTCTCCTCTCGCGTCAACAAATTGCACTTACATTTGTATTTCGTTTCTTTTCTTCTCGCGCTTACAATTTTGCTTGTGGATCACTTGTTTATCTCAGACGCGGTAGAAAACGAGTCTCGCTTATCTACGTGGAAACGGTTTAGGTACGTTCTCGCACAATCGATGAGTAATGTAAAGCAGTAATAATACAACGCGAAAGGGTCCGTTCATTGCGCCGCGAACGCCGACATTGCCCAAAGCAAGAGTAACAGAGCGCCACGTGAAATTAACAGCTTCTTCAGTTTCGTTAATTACATTCCCGGACGCGCTGCGGAACAGCGGGTGGAAACGCATTTAAATTGCCAGATGTGTAAACGCCAGAGGCAGTCGCGTGCTTCATTTCGATCGTTCAATCGCCATCGTCCCGCGACAATGTCGGCGTTCGCACTCCAGTTTGCAAATATGCATACGGCTAGGTCATTGTTATCGCTGGATCTAAGTCGGGAGATTAAAGTGGGCCTGTCGTCCGTTTTTCTTTTTTTTTCGGCTGGCTAAGTTAGCGTGAAACGGATCGAGGTGGTGAAATGAAATTTGCCAAAAGTACATCGGAAAATGCGTATACCGCAAGCGCAACTGCATCGTCGTTGTCGGGCGACTAGTTTCGATCGTACGATCGACATTAACGATTGTATCCTTCTTATTACAACTTTGTTAATCAACCATTATTGCAAACGCGCACCGCTCGCCGGCGCGCTTCGCTAACATCGATGATATATAATTACGAACGAGTAGCAAAAATATTGCTGTCTCCCAGTCCCGATTAAAATATCTGAAGGTGGAGAGTTTTTTCTTTCTTTCTTACGTCTTTTCCCCCCCCTCTCGATTATCTAATTCAGCTTTACCGCGCGAGAAAAACAAGATGTCAAATCAGGATACGTGCTCCGCCGGCGGAACAGGAATAGCAGCTGTTCATTATCTCCTTAATTCGCGTCACGTGCTGGAATCCTGAACGGGCAACAGCCTGCTATTTAAAGAACCTCGTTGATAATGACCGCTCTACCGACTTCTATCTCCCTATTTCGACGTTCAAAGAACATTACACGACAGAATTAAGTTCCGTACAATGAAAATCTCGGCCCTCCTGGCTCCGACGTTCGAGCGCCTCCGCCTTTTCTTCTCCTCCCTCTTTGTACGTTTGGAGCTACAACTCCGCATATGATTCTCGCAAAAATCGTGGACCGTACACGCTGTATTCCGTGGCGCGAAATTAATAGCTTCGTCTAGAATGTGCGCGCGCGCGCGCGTGTGTATGTGTGTGTGTGTGTGTGTGTGTGTGGATATGTGTATATGCCTTTGATCAAACTGAATCGGATAAAACGAATCCCTCGCCCTTCGATCACATATTGTTGACATAACTTTGGCAAACACGTGGCATCGCCTGTCGCCGACCTACTCTCTTTCTCTCAATTGTATATCGGAATTGTCATCCGATAAATATACTTACAGTGTTCGCGAATAATAGGACTTACGGTGGGACGCTAAGAACACAGAATATGCAAAGAACCAATCGATCACAATAATCGTAGTTTCAAATTCTCTCGTTTCAAGGTCTCTAAGGCTTACAATTTATTATCACGATATAAATTATATGTTTCTTCGTGTTACGTAACGACTCCTTTGCATCCTTTAAATGTACAATTACTCGGAAAACATTCGACGTATCTTACGGAATTAAAGGAACGACATAAGCGCTGCATCTTATACACGAGACTCTAATCGTTCTACAGGCTGCTCACGATTATAAAAATAATTGATTATTCATTATTTATGATCACAGAGGGGAAAATTAAATGGCGATGAAGTCTGACATAGGATAAAGAACATGCAACTATCGCTATATTATATCATTGCAATACATGTATAAAAATATGCCTTTAGACGTTATTCAATGTTACAAAAAGATTTGAACACAATAGAGGCAATGGATCTTCGCATTATAAAACGAAATATTAGTTAACATTAATCTAAGCATTAATCCGACAATCCAATATCAATTTACATGTGCTGCGGAAAATTTTTCATCTTCGTCATAACATGAGCGCGCACGGCGAATGGGGCGAATACTGAAACAATCCCAATGGTCGAAACGGAGACGCGGTTAAGTTATTCAGTTGACAGGAGGAACAAACAACACTTGCAAAAAAAATATATAAAAAATGATTATTAAAACTATTCTTTTTCGCTTAATTAAACAATTCGTTAGTAAAACCATATACATAATAGTTAATATAAAGTTATGCGAATATGATCGATAATATATATATATATTTTTTTTTATGCATATAACTAGTCAATAATTCTATATGTTACATATATAATTAGCAACGATGTGAGATCTGAGAGCACGACTTTAAACTCAATCGACACGGTTCTACGGGAAACGCACATTCTATGTATGATTTTTGGTTCTGAATGAACGAAGCCTAAAAAGTACAGTGCCGACGAGACATTAGACGCGTTAAAGCTACATACTGTGCTAACTTACAAAAATAAAGTAGAAAAGACGCGCGTTCCTGTGAGAGAGATACAGTGCGAATGAAAGAGTAGCGGAATTTCCCTTTTCGTTTTCTTTTTGTCTAAATAAGTACGGCTGAGATAACTCTAAGTATTTATGCTGAACAAATTGTACATTTGTCTCGACGTATATCCGAGTGACGCATAGCTCATACTTTGTCGATTGCACACCGAGGTCTCAAAAGCACTAAAATATTATGACAATATCGGAGCCAATATTACGAACGGACGAATGCTATGAAAAATATGTCGAAGAGCAACGAATTGTGACGAACTTTGAAACGTGTCGCTTTACATAATTGCACGAATTGGAAGAGTAACACGAAAACGATACTGTTTTCTTTTTTTTTCTCATAATTTATACGGAAACCATACTCTGATCTTGCTCAGTCTTAACAGCGATTCTCGAAACGGTAAACGCATTGCAGTACACGTCGCCAACGGAACGGATTCGCTGGGAAACAGGCCGTGTCCACGAAAGTTCGTCTTAAATAATAACGTAATAACGTAAAGCGCGAATATCCGTATAAATTATATGTCGGTTCTCGTTGCGTAGAACGTAACATTGTTTAAAAAAAACGAAGGAAAAAGCGAGCGCAGCTGTTGCGTAATACATTCAAAACGTGGATAAGCTTTATCGGCGAAGTAAATAAAAGTTGCGACTGCAAAAGTTTGCGCAACGAAATCGTACAAATGTACGGTATATTGGCTAGGGGGAAAAAAATCGTAACTTTTCTCTCGCTATTTACATACTGAATTTGATTTCTGCATTTGCCGCGTTTACTACCGATGCGCCCACACAATGTAGTTACGGCTACATTACGATACTGCTAGTGTCAATTCAAGTATCTATTCTGAAAATTCCCAAGACGGACAACCAAGTTTATCAGCAAAATGTTTTTTCACGCGCTTTCCTCATATCTCTGTCTTTTCCGTTGACGTACATTTCTCAATTATCACCGCGAAATGATAACGAAGCCTGGTAACTGCATTCGACGGCTCTATCTCTAGTTTTTGTAAAAACGCATTCGGTATTAATTTGCAATGCTGTAAGCACAATGAATTTCATTCAAAGGTCCGTTAACGCTAAATGGTCGTCGTATTCACTCATATATTCATAAACGAAATTGTTTACGGGAGACCCATATAATAAGGCACACTTTTCTGCCTGAGAAGGCACTGAAATATAACGTTTATACTTACGTACAGCTATAAATCGCATTGCATACATGTAAATCATGCAAAGGAGGGAGATCAATTTGAAACGAGATACTATTGATCGCAGATTATTGTGCACCAAAGTTTGTACAATTTTATATTATATAAATTTACAATTTTCCTACACTTTGCCAAACAATTCTATTCTACTTGGTTCTTTTTGAAAATTTAAACTCGCTGATATATATATATCGTTAATCATAAAAATAAATTTAATCCTTTCCTCGCGCTTTCCATCTCTGCTGTCTATTCGAATTTGTGTCTTGCTTTATTCAGCGATGTGATACAACCACAGTTTTTTTTGTTTTTCTCAAACGGAAATTCCCTGAGTCCTTTGATTTTATTTTCTTTAGCTCTAATATTCAAAATAAACTTAAAAACACTGCATTGGCGGATGGAAGTAACGATGAATTAAGTTGGGGAGGGTAGTTATTCTCTCTTAAACGCAAGGATATTTCCAGTTTTACTTCTAGAAAAGCAAAGCATCTCTCAAACATTGTAACAAACCAATTCAATTTAATATACGTCCTCCTCTTAATAACAATAATCTATATAATGAAATCTATAATGAGTCGAATAACAATGAGATTAAAATAGTACAAATTGACTTAAAATTTTCCGCGAGCGAGTGTTAAATCGCGTCCGATCCGTACCCACCGGGATCAACTAAATCTACATTCACTTTCGAGGGTTGGACACACGGCGACCAAGTCCTGTAGCTTCGGTTGCTTGCGTCTCTTCCGCGCTCACGCCCGACCGATGCGCACAGTTCGAAACAGGACGCCGGGGTAGTTCGAAACGTATTCAGAGAGTCTCGTTTGCACTCATGCTCCCGAGGTGGTTCCGCAATCGCGAAGTCTTGGACAGCAGCTGCGTCGTCCCGGCGTCGTTCGCGTGCGGCCGTTTTTGTGGCAGATTCAATCTTTTCCCCGCCGCCGACGACGACGTGGCGATCGGTCGCTGATGCGCAGCCCTACGGGGGAAACGTTTGGGAATGGTGATGGCAGGAAAAAGGAAGACGGTGCTAGTACCCATACTCCATCACATTTTTGCGTGTCTCACTGTTGTTTAAAACAAAAGAAACCTAAAACTCACGCGTCACATTGCGCACTGATTTTACGATCAACCGGCTGCGAGGGGGGAAAAAAAAGCTGTACCGCGAAGAAACGAGCCCGTTTGCTTCCCCCCTTTTTAAACTAAACGATATTTATGGCGTATTCTTTAAATTTAAAACATGAGAATGAATAACGATTGATAGCGATTTTGAATGTAAAGAGTAATTAGATGCTAAATAGATGCTAACACAGTCTAAGATAGCAGCAAAGGAGTCGTTAGTTGGTGGAGACGATGCGCTCGCTAGCGTGCCAGATTGGACAATTGGTCGTTAAAATTTCTCGTGGCGCGTCTCCCCGCGTGCTGCTTCGATCTCGATCACGTGCTTTCGAGTATCACAACGACGAACGCGCCCGCGGGCGCTCGGAAGAAAGAACGAACAAGGGCGAGAGAATGTCGCAAAAACCGGGGGAAACGTGATCGGGCGAATACATCAGGTGTAGCTCTATCCGTCGCACGTACGTTATTGTTTTGCTGTTTAATTACAAAGAAGTTACGCAGATTGTACGTGTACGCAAGCATCATCGATCGATGCTAGAATCGTCGGGGGACATAATTTCGAAAATGGATCGACGGATGATCCTTGAACGCCAACGATGATCCTCTCTCTTTGTCTCTCTGTCTCACACCCTTTTCTCTTGTTTGCACTGAAAAGTGAAAGCATGGAACCTCGAGACGTTGACAGAGATTGCGTATTTCGTGCGTCGTTTGTTGGACACGCCATAATTATTCTCGTCGTCATCGTCGTCGTCGTCGTCGTCGTCGTCGTCGTCGTCGTCGTCGTCGTGATTGTAGCAATTAAACGTAGCGAACAATTAACGAATTAATTGAAGCAAGAGCTTGGACGACCGTGAGAGACATCGCCGTCGTGATAGAAAACGCCCCTCGGGATGCGCTCGGTGAGGAGAGCGCGATTCTCCGTTTTTACCTCGTTCGTCTCCGTCACTTTCACTCTCGCCGTGCCGGGGGATGGTCGATCACCACCCCTCTGCATATGTACGGGCGACGGACGACGGGCGACGAGAGCAGCGACGAGTGATAAAGGGGATCTCGTCGCCGTCACCAGAAGTGAGGCTCGGAGTCTCGGGTGTAAGCATCTATTTGGTAGTAGGACGAGCGATCGGGGGATCTTACAGGGAATCGAGATGATTAAGGATATGGGTACGCGCGGATGGTAATATATTTGGTTACAACTCCATGTCCTGCGCCTCGTCCTCGCTGAAGTCGCTCATCGACGACTCGCTGTCGGAGGACATCCCGTTGCCGGTGCCGCCATTCTCCTGGTCCCTCAGCGCCTCCTCCGTCGCGTACTTCCTCACGTAATCTGCCGGGGGAGAAGCCAGAAAACGGGAAATTGCATTGCGACCGTAATGACGTTCTAAGCGTACACACGCGGAACGGAAGCAACTACGGGGGGAGTCTCTGTCTGGTCTTTTTACTCCTAAGAGAGACACGGGCCGACCGGCGGGCCGTTCGTAAAAGTCTCTCGCAATGATCCTCCGCCCTCGTTCCAACCGTGCCTCGTTATGGGGTGGGAACTTATTAAGCCACACTTACCCGCCACTTTCTTCTTGTACTCCTCGGGTTTGTGAAGATACATCGCGGCGGCGTCGCCGTTCAATGGATCGATTGGATTGGGATATGTTAACAACTGAGGCAGGAAAGACTCGAAAATATTTGACAAGTCTGAAACAGCGAAACAGGGAGAAAACATGATCAGCGCTCGTTCGCAGTTCTCCTCGCTTTTGCTGAAAGGATGTTAACATGCCGCTCGGTAAAACTAAACGTAATAAATACGAGACGGATGTGTACACGCGCCGCGCACCGGGAAGTAACTCTCGAAGCGATGTGGCTCTGAATTAAGTCACTTGCAGGCGAAACAGCTAAGTAGACGGCTAAGTGAAAATTACTTTGCGCTATTTGCAGACTCGGTTTTTACGCGGCTAAAACGAATACGTACCGTAAAGGGCAGTCCAAGCCTGGTTTATAACGTCTAGACACACCGTGCCCGAGACTTCGTCAATGTTGGGATGGTAGACCTTGTTCATGAAACCGATCGAAGGTGATTTGAAAGGGTAGTGCTCCGGTAGATGAACCCTCACTTTCCATATTCCACCCTCGTAGGGCGCTGCAACGCAACGTAACGCGATCTTATAAGTCCGTTAATTATTACAATTAAATTCCGTCATATATATATATACTTGTGCACGCGTGTGCTGTTAATCGACAGACGGAATGTTCGTAATAATCGAAACGTCAAATTTAAGCTCGTCACCTCGCCGGGTATTTTAATTATAAAGCAAATATCGATAGTTCTTGGCGCAAATCAGATCGCCTGAATGCATTACTGCCGCTAACAAATGAATTAATCGCCGGTTTTTTCTTTCGCAAAATGCCGCTAATTATTGCCGCTGTTGCTCTTTTAGCGTCGGTTTTTCGGCAAACGGGCGCGGAGATCGGAAAGTATGTAACGCACGCGGATCGAAAAATTCCAGCTTGCTCGTTAATTATTTAGCTGAATTTCGATGCGGGCTGTCAAGCTAAACAAAAATAAAAGCGCCGAAACACCCGGAAACCGGTCGTGCTCGTCGAATCGAGGTGAATAACCGAAACGTCGATACCTCGTCGAAATTCACGTTTCGTGATGCATCGTGGCGGCGATCACGCGCGTAATCATTCCTCATCGCGCCCGCATGGCCTCGCGGGGGGGGGGGGGGACGTGCGTTAGTTTACGACCGCGATTCCGCCGCTCATACGTGCAAGCAATTGCGCGTACAGTTAGCAGCGATATGTACGATTGCTGGACGCAGACAGGCCGGCGGGCGCTATCTCATAATTTGCGATAGATCCAAGGAACTGGAACGTCCAACGGTAAAGCCGTTCTCCGGGATGCCTCATTCGTCCGGGAAGAAGAAAATAATGTTCGCGGCGCAAAGGGGGATCCATTGTGGCTGACGAGCGCGGCTGTTTTCGGCCCAAAGTTCCCTAAGAGTTTTCCCTCTTTCCGCAAAGTAAGAATCGCGAAGCTTCGCACGATAAGTACAGACGACGACGTCGACGGTATCTCGCGAGGGATGAGGACTCTAAAGAGCTCGCGCTTTTCCTCCCAGCCTTGTATAAAATTACCCTCCAGCGAGGGTACTTCCTCCACCAAATCCTCTCTCCCGACTCAAATTAGAATGGTATGAATCTACCACGCCGAGGCACTTAGAGCACTACACGGCACACAGAGAAAACGATTTCTTTGGATTTAATAAATGTTGTTGTATCAAACAAATTTGATATTTGGAATGGTCCAAACAATTCATTTCTTTGAATTTGAAGTAATATACAGGGTGAGTCATTTTAATCGACGCACGCAAATATCTCTTCGGGGCAAAAGTTGTTGGGTTTCGAGGGGGGGGGGGGGGACATAAGATGGTACCGTTGGTTTGACCTTGAATAGTTGCTTGAAGGCCACGTGAAAGTCACCTTCCTTTTTTTTAATGAAACCCCCTATTGTTTATTATACTATCTTATTCTACTAATTAATATGAACAACTTTTGTCTGAAACATTGTTTGATTTGCCTAATACTTTTTGAGATATTTAAGAGAAAATTGATAACTTTTTCAATGTTTAGCTTATGATAACTGTTGGTCGGAGGGAAAAGTAGTACGGGATTTTTTTTACTTGTTTTGGTTTCAGGAATATGCTGTTGCAATAGTGCTCCAATTATTGAAAATTTTTGTGTATGTAAATTTTGTGTTTGTTACAATACACAAGTTTCAGTAATTGGAGCACTATTGCAACAGCATATTCCTGAAACCAAATCAAGTAAAAAAATCCTGTACTACTTTTCCGTCCGACAAACAGGTATCATAAGCGAAAAATTGAAAAAGTTATAAATTTTCTCTTGAATATCTCGAAAAGTATTAGGTAAATAAAAAATGTTACAGACAAAAGTTGTTCGTACTAATTAGTAGAATAAGATAGTATAATAAACAATAGGCTGGCTAAATAATATAATTATTTAATTGAAAGATATTACCTCAAATAATATTGTCTTTTCCAACAAATAATAAAGATGTTTGAATAAAACAGTAAAATTTTTATTCAAACAAATAATGTTTCGTACAAGTAGATGTTGTTTCAGTGAAACACTTTTCAATCAAATATATTATAAATAGGAATACTAAATCCAAAGAAACCTGTCTCTCTGTGTAAGAGAGGTCCAAGTTGAAATCCTGGCTGAAGTAGTATTTTTCGCAATAAATTTTCTGCATTGACCGGTTAATTAACAAACGTGGCCAGCTGTGGTCGAATGAAATTTGGAATTTTACTATTATACTGGCAGTTCGAAGAAACTAACCTTTTATCGATATTCGTTGCATTAAGTTGTTAATTGCTGTCGTACACTGAGAAAAATTTCCATCGGATAAACCAATTAAATAGTGTTTCCGATGGTTAATCTTTTCGATTAACTTTTCCGATTAAATTATGCATACATCCGATGAAATTTATCCAATAAAATTTGATCGAGAAACCGATTATACTTTTCATCGGATATACAATTTAATCGGATATATCCAGGGTTGGGTACTGTCTAGTTTAAAAGATAAAAGTTAAGTTCAAAGTTAAATAATTTTAACTTAACTT